ATAAAGTATGTGAAAAGGCATATGGTGAGTATGGTATGAGTAAAACAAGAGTTTACTAGTGGTATAAGCGTTTCCAAGATGGCCGTGAAGACGTTGAAGATGACGAACGCCCCGAACGCCCAAGCACATCAACATCCGATAAAAACGTGAAAAAAGTGAAAGAAATGGTAATGAACGATCGCCAAATCACAATCAGAGAAGTCGCTGATGATGTTGGCATATCGATTGGCTCATGCCATGATTTTTTTTTAAATGTTTTAGGTATGAAATGCGTGGCTTTTGCACCAGGATATTGCATCTGCTCACACTTCATTGCTTGTTCGTGAATTTTTGGCCAAAAACAATACTGTAATGATGCCTGAGGCATCATGCCTCAGCCTCCATATTCGCCAGACATGGCTCCGTGTGACTTTTTTCTATTCCCAAAAATTAAGAGAACCTTAAAGAACCGTCGTTTTGCAAGCATAGATAACATTAAAAGCGCATCGTTGAAAGAACTAAAGGCTATCCCAAAGATTGACTTTGAGAAGTGCTTCGAGGATTGGAAGAAGCGCTGGCACAAGTGCATAATATCTAATGGGGACTATTTTAAAGGCGACAACATTAATGTAGACAAATAAATAAATATTTTTTTCAAAAAACGAAAATTGCCGTTATTTTCTGAACACACCTCGTATATTAAATCTAATAAGGTTTTTTAAATTGACACTATCGGCAGCCCTCTAATAAGTTATAGCTACTAATGTATAAATCTAGATGTCGCTGCAGTATTTTTTTAAACGTCAACAAAATTTGTAAAGAATTAAGGTAATTCTTACTAGTTTTGCCTATATTATTTATTTATTTATATACATATATGCCAGGTTCTTAATGTTGTTAAAATAATTTAAGAAACATGTATGTTTTTTAAATTATTTTAATGATGAGCCCCTATCACCCTGCCCCCCCGCACTGCTCCCTTGTGCTCCTACTAGTTCCGCCACTGGTTCCCATCATATTTTTCACTCCACCCTAATGAGGATAATGATTCCAATTTTTCTTTAAGACCGTTATTTACTATTCCAACCAAAAATTTTCCCTGAGAGGAATTCAAATTTACTTTAGCAGCATCAAAATTATTGTGACTAAAAACTTAAATAAGTAAAACAGCCGAGTACATAGAAAGTCACTGCAAATTAAACATATTAATATTAAAAATCTTAACAAAACACATCAACTTTTATCTATCTAAACTTATAATTACTGTGCGCAGGGGCGGATGGGACAGATCTTGGTGGGCCGCTATGTCAGATTGGCCGAATGGACATCTAGACTAGCCCAAAAACACCTAACGACTTATGAAAATTTCACCCCTTATAATTTCACATAAAACTTCGTAATTTATATGGGTTTTTTTGTAAAATAAACATTAGTAAGAGTGGGTAGATTTTTGTGTAATTTCACATACGAGTATCATCCAGAAAATGCTTCTAAATTTGTAAAATTATAATTTTTTATCCATGTAATGCTGTGTTTGTCTGTCTTAAAAAAAATAAAAACAAATAGGTGAGTTAGGCAATTGCACCCATTGGCCCCCCTGTATCGGCGCCTGCTTAGATTTTAGATTTTTGTGTTCAAAGAGAAAAATTTTCACTTTACTTCTTCCATTCAGGTGGCGGCTCGGGGCGCAGGATATCCTTCTGGGGGGGCTATAAAATTTAGAGCCGTCCATGAATCTTGTAAAGCTGGAGGGGGAAGGTCTTTTTAAAACGTCAGGTGACAAAATAAATCAAATAAAATTGCTTATTCGTTTCATTTTTTGTCAGATCGAGTACAAAAAAGAATCGGAAAAAATAAGTTAGTGGGTCCGCTACCGCTACCAATTTTGATAATTTTAAGCTTCACGAGATTTATGAAATTCTTAAAAAATATACTCTCTAAAAATGAATTAGTCAAAAATGACTAATTACTGCAGTTATTAGTGGCTGCTTTTTCACTTGTACCATGGTTCATCATATGTCATGATATCCCAACTTTTAACAGCAAATTCTTATGTAAAACGGTCCCCTGAATCCAAAAATACCGTAAAAAATTATAAATTTAAAGTAAAGCAGTTTTTGAGATATAGTCAATTCCATATTATATGGAAAATTGACTATATCTCAAAAACTTGTCTAACTTTTGACGACATTTTCGGATTCAGGGAACAATTTTACATGGAAATTGACTGCTAAATGTTCGGGATACAAATTGCTTTTGACGAGAATTATTAGTGGCTGCTTTTTCGCTATGACAATTTTTTTGACAAATTCATTTTTAGAAAGTTTTAAATAATTGTTTAGTATTTTAAGTGAAAATTATAGTAACCTCCTGAAAAGGTTTGAACACCCAAAACCTCACGTGCGCACGGGCCTAGTGGTACCTGTAACAATGTGTTTTCCGTCACAAATATTACGTTTTTTGTCACGCACCCTGTGCGACAAAATCCCAAATATTTACGAATTTGTTCGATCCCAGAGATTTTTTTTTCATATTCTGTAATGTTAAAAAAATAATTACCGATTGAGAACATTACAAACAAAAATTTGTTTATAATTTGTAGTACCAATATTTTTTACCGAATATTTAATTTTTGATTTTTTTTTCGATTCAGTAGTTTCCGCATGATAAATTTTAGACAATAAAAATATATATTTTTAAGTTGCAAAATCAATAGCAGAAATATTTAATTTTGGAAAACCACACCACGTGAAAAATCAAGGTATCACTTCCACTTTATATGCAAATACTTAAGGATTTGGTGGAAGGGGTTGTAAAAAAAACAAGGTGGGCCGCTTTTACAAAAACCGTCCCGGGCCATTTGAGATATGCCCTTCCGCCCCTGACTGTGCGCCAGTTAATACATACGTAACACATACGTACGCTAAGTAAAAGTAAAATAAAATGCATTGTTTATTATTACAGCAATAAATAATAAATTATTAAATGTCAAGTTTTGTATACAAAACACATTTACTTTACTTTAACTTTCTCATAAGTAAGAATTATGAAAAAATGCAATTATTGCAATATATTTATACCCACGCGTATACGTTTTGTATTTAATTATTACGATAAATGCAGTCCTGTACCTATGTACATATTTAACTTGTATATTGTACCAGCTTCTTGTTAAAAAAAATAATAATGGACATTTATTTAGAGATTGATATATTGGCGCGAAAAAGCAGTGTGAAATTAATGCTGAAGCAGCAGGAGCACTAGCAGGAGGAGGAGGAGGATCATGGCGCAGACTCTGCGCCATTGACATTCCGTCGTTTTCATCCCTTACCATCCTGTAACCTGCAACAAACAACACACTCAAACTCACCCCGCCGCCGCCTTCAAATCATTGAAAAATCCTCCCGACTCCACTCGACTCCTGCTAATGCTTCTTATGACTTCATAGACCTTCGATTTCCTGCCATGATTTTTAATGGTACAATGCAATTCGCTATTAATTATCGCTTAAACATCAACACTACTCTTTGTTATAAAGCAGTCATATGGTAAATCTTCAATAATCATGGTAAGTTTGTTTGTGTGTTTGTTTATTGGCTATAGCCTTTTTTTAGATTTAGTTGCTTGCGTGCAAATTTTATTTAATTTGTTTCACCAGAATTATCACAAAAATATTGTAAACATGTGTTTTCGACGAAATAGTAATACGAGTAATTATAATTATTAGTTTTTTATACAGTGCCCCAAAAAAATATATATTTTTCTGTTAAGTACCTACCTAGTTTTCGGGCATTAAATTTTTGGTTTAAAAAACTTGGCGACGTTGTGTGTTTATTAATTAGTGGTTGTAAAAACAAGGCAGTTAAAGTTGACATGGTTAAGAGAAGTATTTTCTTCAGTTTGTGTTAAAAAATGTTTAAATTATTTTAATTTTGTTGTTAAAAAATTTCAACTTTTTATTTTCTATACAGGATTTAAACGAGAGGTTGTCCAAAAAATTACCAGAGGGCAGAACTTCTCAAAACAATAAAAAATGTTATATAAACATACTAGGAGAAATGACTCCTGAGTAAGCTAGAGCCCCTTTATATTATATATACAGGGTGTTTCTTAATCGATGGCTGATACTGAATTGTCTCAACCCTTAATAAGGAATTAAGTTTAAATAAACTTAATTCCGCAACCGTTTTACTTTGAGAAGTTCTCTCACCTGGTAACCATTCGTTAAGACCTTTCATTAAGACCCTGTATAATATACAGTGTATATACATATGTATACATATTATAAATTATATGTATGCTAAACATTGCATAGTTATAACTCAACAACTATTGATACAATTTTGTAATAATTTTAAACCAATTTTCGGAGCACTTTATATATATTTTACTAACCCTATCTAAAGTAAAAATCAATAAAATACTATTATATTAATTATTAATTTGAATGGACATAAAAAATTAAAATGTATAAAACAATACTTCTAACCCTACCTTTAATATATCGAATCGTTATTTTCCGTCCCAAACCAATAATCACGCAAAATTATTATGATTTCTCATTACTGAGTCAAGAAGTAATTATATTTTTTTTCTTTTTATATGATTCATCTGTTTATTTATTTAAAACCATCAATTCTGGACCAAGGTTTAATAACTATTTGTCTTAATCTTAATCAAAGAATTACTTCATCTTTTTTAATTTGCTGTTTAAAAAAAGTTTGCTTCAGGGAATTCATTAACAATAATTGTTGGGTACCTATAATACCTATAATTATAACTTTTTATGTTTATAATAAAATATGAAGAACACAAATCCAAAGAATTCTGTAATTTTTAAAAATTTTAAATTATTTTTTATTTTTGTATTAAAGAACTAAATGTATTAAAAATATTGGTTTTTTAATTATCGTATATTTAATTAATTTTTAATCAATTTTTACGCCATTGAGGTTATTAAACATAAAGTATATAAATTTTATTAATCGTAAAAACAACCTTAACTTTATAAATATAAACAATAATAATATTTTTTTGTTAGAGTCAATAAGTTAAAAATAAAAATATATTAGTTTGTCAAATTAGTTTTTGATCATATAAATTAGTATATTATTAACACGGGTCAATATCACCTTGTAAAGGTAAAAGAATGTTGTAAATCAAATTTTAAAAAAATCTTTATATACCATAGGCCTAGTCTTAGATGATAAGAATTAATATTGTATGCATTTATATAAATAATCCTTCATGGTTAATATATATATATATATATATATATACACCATGTACATGAACGAGTAGATATACTTATTTATACATATATAATGTTTCTCCATATTTGTTGTAGATTTAAAACAATGTTACGGTTTTTCCTTTTTGGTACATTTATTTTAAGCTGCTTAGTATGGATTTTCGTTTATCAGGACCCGAACTCATTTATCAATTACTCAACCTCATACGTTTCTCTAAATGCAACTCTACCAGCTTTCGAAAACGGTACGTAAAATGTATACCCGTCTACGTGTGTAGACTTCAATAGACCTGTTTATTTTTAGATCCTAACTTTCTTATTTCGAGCGAAAAATGCAAAATCGTTAACTTGAATCCGTTCAACAAGTATGCGAAAAAGTTTTTTAAACCCGAGAAATACAAAGCATGCAGGAAACAGGAGCTGTTAACGTACATAACTAAAATTGACAATATAGCAACTTTGCACATAGATGAGGAAATTCTACCGTCCTATTTGAAAAAATCCAAAAAAATCGAAAATATTAAATGTTGTTATTCAAATGTTACCAGGGCTTATAATGCAGAGAAACCAGATGACAAAATATAGTGAGTAAAAAAACAACTCTTCTTTTATTTAGAAGTAAATTTTAAATTTGTTTCAGTGTATCACCATGCAAAGATTTTAAGAATAACGTGACCATAACTGAAGAATGCATACTAGTAAAATGTGAAGACAAAACAAATTCAAAACTGGTTTACGAAAATACTCACGCAATAATAAAAATAAAAGAAAACGTCCAGAAAAAAATGTTCTCGGCAGACAATACAACAAAACAGTTAAGTGTGTTAATAGTTGGTATTGACAGTATTTCAAGGCTAAATCTAATTAGAGGGCTACCGAACACGTATAAATATCTCAGTGATAATAACTGGGCAACTTTAAAAGGCTACAACAAAATCGACGATAACACTTTTCCAAACTTGATGGCCATTTTAATTGGTCAAAATCAAAGTAGAGCATACTCGGTTTGTAAGCCTAAAGAAATCGGGAAATTGAACGAGTGCCCTTTTATATGGAACGATTTTAGTAAATTTGGCTACGTGACAGCTTATGGTGAAGACGAATCGAATATAAACACGTTTAATTACAACAAGAAGGGATTCAATACTACACCCACAGACTATTACTTAAGGCCTTACGTGATTGCATCGGAAACTCTTAACAGAACAAAGAAGGACACGCTCATATACTGCTCAGGTCCTGAAACAGCAGGGGAGAGAATTTTAAATGCAGCCAAAGATTTCGCGATAACTTTTAAAAACAACCCAGCATTCGGTCTTTTCTGGATGAACTCCTTTTCTCATAACGCATTAAACTCGCCCACTGGCATGGACAACAAAGTAAAACAGTTTCTGGAGGATCTCAGCAACTCCGGAGTAATAGACACGACGGTGGTGGTCTTTTTAAGTGACCACGGTTTAAGGTTTGGCGATATTCGACTTACCCCCACCGGTTGGTTGGAAGAACGTTTGCCTTTTATATTTATTTCTTTTCCTACTTGGTTTAAAGAGCTGTTTCCGGAGGAGTATAGCAACTTTTTGACAAACGAGTACAGACTGACTTGTCCGTACGATTTGCATATGACGTTGCAACATATCCTAGTGCTTTCCGGGTATAATCATTCGATGAAACAGAGCGAGGGCTGTCCCAAGTGCCAATCGTTGTTCTATTTGACTCCCAAAGAGCGGTCCTGCGAGGATGCCAGCATTGCGCAGCACTGGTGCACCTGCTACGGCTACAAGGAAATTCAAATGGACTACGCAATGACCAAAAACGTGGGTAATTTTGTTGTTAAACAAGTAAGCGATATTATCCATAGAAAAGGTGGTGATGACAAGTGTGCCAAATATCATTTTTACAAGATTATCGATTTAAGTTTGTCGGAAAAGTTGTCGTATACGAACAATACTTATTTGATGGTAAGAATTGAAACGAGACCCAAGGCGGTGTTTGAGACAACTTTGTTGTATAAAGGAGACTTGGAAGATTTGGATTTTTTTCCTGATAGCAGCATCAGTAGACTGGACTCTTATCAAGCACACAGTAAATGTGTAAGCGACTCCTACTTAAAAATATATTGCTATTGTCGCAAATAATGACACCATTAAAAAATACCAAGTCTACTTAAGTAGTTTAATGCAAGACAGATTTGTAAATTTGTCAAGCAGGAACGATTCTACTAAATATAGCTTGTTAAAGTAAATAAAGAGAAACATATTATAAATATTGACAATAATATAATACATTAATTAATTTATTTGGCCAAAGTAAGCATTTGTATAATCTTTGACTATATAAAAGGCTAGTGTAAAAGTAGATTTTAGGCAACCGTAGCAAGTTAAGCTGCTCACCAAAAACAAGATTTTACGAAAATGGCGCATCAGTAATTTTTTTTTGAATTAGGCCAAGATGTTTTAGGTGGACAGTAATACAGGTTTTATATAATCTAATATTTTAGAAAAGTTTTTAACATTATCCAAACAATATTTAAAAATATCAACCTACGAATAATTATTTATTTCGAAATTACGTTTCAATTGTTTTTAATGTTATATTTTATTGTTAAAAGATTTTATTCGATAAAATATAAATCTGCATAATGTTGTTATATACATACCTAAAAAATACTTATAACTGTATATAGGAAACATATCATTTGGAATTATTAGGAAATATTGACTAATTTATTATAAATATGTTTTTAGATATAAATTATTTTTTTATTTTTTTATAACTTTAAATTCTAGTCAGATAAGCCTGTAACATATATAAGGCCAGTAAAAGTACAACATTTAACATAATAACCTAATACTTTTATACCGGTTGGAATTTAATTTTTTTTTATAAAATGAGCATACATTGAATAGTTTGTATTTTGGTTTTTGGATTGACCCAAACAAGCACCGCGATGCTATACCCCGCCAACTTACAGTTACATTTTTTTTAAGATGGCGTCGAAAATTTGAGAAAATGTCTTATAACATGAAATATTTAAGTTTTTCTATTTGGAAAAATTTTAAGAAAAATTCGAATTATTATATATAATATATTATATATATTATATTTACGGATCGTACTGTTGCCATGAAGAGTACGAAACGCAAATGCATATCGTACTGTGCTTATTACGGTATACAAATAGAAAAAAGTTATTTCTTTATTTCATAATTATCATATTATAATCAATATTATAATAATAATTATTATACCTAATTATTACAAACTAAAATTAAAGTTTGACATATTATGTTGTTAATTACGTCATGTAAGACGACTTAAAAAAACGTACGCAGACAGGAGGGATTGTATAGAGAAACCTGCTGAGAGCAGGGCCGTGCGCAGGATTTGCTCCTGAGAGGAGTTTTATCAAATTTCATTATAAAATATACATTTTTAGGTTACTTTTCAGTACCTATTTTCAAGTAAAAATTGTAATTTTAAATCCCTCCTTGACCACCAAAACCACCCGTGCGCACGGGCCTATATGTATGTAGTTATAAAATATATACCCCCAACTGAAACAAGCTTCACTGGTAATTTAAAAAATATATAATTTCGTTTTATTATAAAAAAATTTACAGTAAGATAAACCTAAATCAAAATAACCGAATAGAATCTATTCAATGATTATTTATAATGTTCTATGTAAAATGCCTGATAAAAAATGAAAATGTAAACCTGTTTTAATTAAATAACAATACACGTGTAACACATGAAAAAAATGCCATAATAAAAATTACACGTGGTTAGTGTGTTAAAGCCTTATTAACACGTGTAATTAAAAAACACACTAAAAAGGGGGTTAAATGTTAGGTACTACAAAAAATACCACGTGTCAAACGCTTTTACTGGCCTTTATGTATTATACGATTAAGTACCTAATAAACATTATTAAAAAAAATTGCTCATTGAATTATTTATTTTGTTTTATTCCACGGCATCGCCAAGGGGGCGAAAGTTTTTAATGGATTCGACCATTTTCATTAGGGAACGAATTACCGTCCCAAATTTCTCTTCGTACCTATACGAAATCGCTTAAAAGCGATTTCCGGTAAATGAAAAAAATTTAAAAGAAAAATCGATTAAAAATGGAGGTCAAACAGTAGGTGTCCTGAACGAAAAAAAATCGAGTTTCCACCGTAATAGGTTTTCGAGCCACCGGGATTCGAGAAGAACCTCACAGACAACAGAAAAAAAAATTGTTCAGAATTCGATTGCGAGTCGATGCTGCTTTACCCACTTTACATCGGATACTAGAAATTTTTATTTATTTTTATTTTGCCCACAATACATATCCTCCATCTTTCATCTTGCCCCCCTCTGGCTGGCGACCCCCTTAGTTTTATTTGAATTCTCACATTTACATTTGAATTAACACATTTACATACGTGTGTGTAATACACTAAATATTTTCAGAGTTGCCACTGTCCCTACATATTTTAGTTACGGTTTCTTATTTTTAGTTTATTTCTTTTGAGATGCTTAGTATGTACTCGTTTATCAAGTATTCAACCTCATAAGTTTCTCTAAATTCAACACGGCCAGTTGTCGAATACGGTACCTAAAATGTTTACCCTGTCTACGTGTGTAGACTTTATTAGACCTTTTTATTTTTAGATCCTAACTTTCTTATTTCGAGCGAAAAATGCAAAATCCTTAACTTGGATCCGCTCAACAAGTAGGTATCTACCTATGCGAAAAAGTTTTTTAAACCCGGGAAATACAAAGCATGCAGGAAACATGAACTGTTAACGTAAATAACTAAAATTGACAATATAGCAACTTTGCACATAGATTAGAAAGTTCTACCGTCCTTTCAAAATTAGAAGATTAGAAAAACATCTCTACTATTATTTTCAAGTAATTTTTAAATTTATTTGTATCACCCTGCAAAGATTTTAAGAAAAACGTGACCATAACCGAAGAATTCATACACAGTAAAAAAATAATAATATTATCTAGATTTTATGTTAATTCAGGTCCACATAACAACAAACTGTAATCTGTTAAGTAATTTAAGGAATTTGGAATTATAAAAAACATTTTGTAGATTTAATAACAAAATCCTATATAAATAATTCAACCATAATAATTCTAATAATAATATAATTCTTTGTTGGAAATTGGGAACTTAAATGAAAATAATTTTGATAAGAAATGTTGCTTTATAAATCAATTTCCTAAACAAAAAAATTAACACATAAATGAACAAAAAATAACACACACAAAATTAAATAACACATCAATCAGAAATCATCAAATTATAAAGACATTTGGTACAATATAATTATTAGAACTACTACAACACTTACTGCATCATAATGTGCCTATTTCGTAACTTTAACCCACTTCACTGTATCCCCTAATTTCAGTTTGGAAACCAGTGATGGCATATTTTTTCGGATACTTAAGTGGGAGTTCGCATTTCGCACACTCGTTAAATAGGTATAAGTTATATATATACCGTATAACGAATCCGAATAACAATAATAACAGATTTCTGGTAATATATTATAAAACTCTGGACAGTTGTTAAGAACATGTTACGAATTAGAATAAAGTTAGCAGAAACATAAGTTGAAGAGGCTGAAGTCAGTTAAACTTTTTCAACGAAATAAGTTGTTAAACATTAACAAAATAATCTTTAATATTAACAAAATGCTTACAAAATTGCATATTACCTTTAGAAAACTTTCGGTAAAATATTTTCCATTGTTAAAACAATTACAAACCATGGTTTTCTACAAAAAATTATTTTAAAATTTTACATAATAAAATTAACAAACTACAAATTCATGTTAACAAATCTGATTTTTATAACAGTGTAGTAAAATCATTTTACTAAAATGCGAAGACAAAACCAATTCAAAACTGATTAACGAAAATGCTCACGCAATATTAAAAAGAAAACGTTCAGAAAAAAAATCTTTGGCAGACGATACAACAAAACAGTTGAGTGTGTGAATGGTTGGTTAGTATTGACAGTATTTCACGGCTAAACCGAGCACGTTTAAATATCTCGGTGATAATAACTGCCCATGGACAACTTTAAAAGTCTACAACAAAATCGACGGTAACACTTGATGCCCATTTTAATAGGTCAAAATAAAAGTAAAGCATTATCGGTTTATAAGCCCAAACGATTTTAGTAAATTTGGCACGTTTAATTACGACAAGTAAGAATTCAATACGACTCCGACCGATTACTAGTTTTCAGCCATTTTGACAACCATGTATCACTATGATTTTCTTGTGTAGTTTGGTTGACTAAACGCGAAAATCACACTTAAAAGTTTCATGGAAGCGTTTTCGAGATATGAATTTTCAATTGTTTTTTTTTAATCTTCTGAGGTGTTTTGACGTTTTAGAGTATACTTCGAGTTCTAATTGATCGATTTGACCAAACAAGCACTTAAATCAAAGGTAATTAAGCCCTCTACAACTTTCTTTTGTATAGTTTTGGTATCGGCCCAGTAGTTCGATGCTAGCGATTTTATTAAGTTGAAAAAGTCCTTTTTTTACAAAAATCGAGATGTAAAATTTACGTACCTTTCTGGGAAAGATATAACTCGAAAAGATAAGTCCAGTTTGATTTGTTTTACGTTTTTCATATGAGAAACCCATCATGGCTGATGCCGCGATACCGATACATAGCCTTCATTTGCTGTTGAAAACGTTCTCCGTGCTCATCACTTACGTCGCCCAGATTGTTCGGGTTATTTACGTTGAACTCTCTACATCTTTTACTCATTTTACACTTTTTATTAACTAAATAAACAATGATAAAAATACCTTGTTGAAATTTCAAAAAATAACAGTAAAATGTCACTATGCCAACACGAGAAACAAAAGAATTCACGTTTGTGGAGTCATGTCAAATTTAAATTCTGAATAATGATTTCGGTAAAAAAATACGTAAAAAATTCAACAAATTTAAATCATGCACTTTAATTAGGTTTTTATTAAAGAATAAACATATTACAAAATAAAAGAAAAAAAACAAAAATCGTCGAAAAGTTGAATTTTGGTCTTCCACTAAAAAATTCATAACTTCGCCATTTATCCATGGATTTAGCTTGCTTTTTGTAAAAATGTCAGCTTTACGAAAAAAGTTCAAACTGGAGTTATCTGTTTGATTTAAACCTTTCCCCAGGACGATATATAAATTTTCGACCTCAATTTTTGCCATAAAAACGAATATTTTAATTTATCAAAATCATTGGCATTAAAATACTTTTCAGATATCAAAAGTATGTAGAAGAAAGTTTTAGAGGGATCAAATACCTTCAATTTAAGAGCTTGTTTGGCCAAATCGATCAATTAGATTTCAAGCTATACTCAAAAACGTTAAAAGTTTTAACTTAAAACACCTCCAAAATTAAAAATTCATATCTCTAAAAACGCTTCCATCAAAAAATTGAGTGTGATTTTTGTGTTTAGTTGGTCAAAATACATGGGAAAATTATAATGGGATATGGTGGGCAGAAGTTTTTTTCGATTTTGTTAACTACACCGAGAAAAATCTGAGATTTATAATTAACCAACGACTGTTTTCACGAATAATATTAATAAATAAATCAACTTGGGTATTATTAACAATAGCGTGTTTGTATAAAGTAAATTAGCATGTACAGATTAACAATAAATATATGGATAGGATTAATGCTAACACAGCGTTTCTTATAAAAAAAAATATTTATATATTAATAGTTAATCAACATTGCGTTACTGTCAACCTGTAATTGTTTAAAATATCTGAAGTATATAATGCATTTAATTTAAACCATTTTTATTAATAATAAATAAGTTTGTTCTCCCCCCAGGCCACTCGCGCAAGCGCAGTTATAGCGTTCTCACATGGTTCATGTTGCACAGCGGAAGCTTTGTTCTGTCGGCCATTGATAAAAAAGATGCATCTTGTTCTGTGATTTTGTTCTGTGGAAGGTGTGTGGGTGTAATAAAAACGTGTAATTGCATCAGGTGTAGTTTACTTGTTGGGAATCGTATTAAGTAGCTCTCATAAATGGTATACCATCAACAGGTGCAATGCACTAAGAAATAATGGAAGAATTAACGAACTTTTTAAGTGACACAGGTTTGCCCTCCCTATTCCCGGATTTTGTTGGTAAGTAAAGTTATAGCTACTTTATCATTTCATTATGATGGCTTGGCCTAATTTCCTCGATGTTTTGTGCCTAAAGTAATCAAATAAATCCAAATCTTGTTTTCATTGGCTGTCTTTTAGCTAAATTAGCTAAGTATTGCTTGTTATTATTTTTAACATGCGTATATTTATTATTAACACACTGTTTTAAATAGTAATAAAAATGCATACCCACACTAGTTAATGTTTAACTTCTTTCTTTTCTATCATATAGAGAACTGCATTGAGGACGTAAGCAGTCTGCAACAATTGGTACTTCACGAGGAGGAAAGTTTCAAGGTGTTATGTCCAATTATTGGACATAGATTAAAAATTAAATTAAATATTTATTTTTTATATTTTTATAAATATATGTATTTTATTATACTTACCTGCTTTTATTTTCCATTTACGTGGGGAGGGGGGGTTCTTTAATACCTATACACCGAGAGAAAGGTTGGTTTAATAATAACCAAAATGGTTATTTAGTAATAAAAAAATGATTGATAAACCGACGTAACAAATATTGGTTTTATATCACTCTATCATTTGTTAAAAAGTTATAAATAGATTATGGTTTAGGAATAACCCTATGTATTTATATTTAACTAATGTTATTTTTGTAGTGAACCAACTATGTTATTATTAAACGTAGGATTACTTTTTAAATAACAAATTTCTTTATTTGCATTTACTCAATCTATACCTATATTATTTATTAGTATAGGTATTAAAGAACCCCCCCTCCCCAC